AGGGAGGCCCAGACCCAAAGGCCTCAGCTCCTGACAAACAGGGGCTCTGGGCTCTGAGCTGGAAAGGGAGGGGCACGCCGCCCCCTGGTGGGGGACAGGGGCACTGCAGCCACCACCCCAGTCACAGACACAAGCACTCAGGGCTCTGTACAGGGACTTTTATTGGGGACACTAGAGGTTGTGATGGGCAGGATGAGAGCTTAGTTTTTAGTTATAATATCATGAATCCAGGGAATAAACTCTGTGACACGGGTGCAAACGGTAGGAAAACTGGTGAGGCAGTTAGCACTGACAAAGGACACGACGCCCACCAGGGTCCAGGCTCCGTTCTTCTGGCAGACCACGGGGCTGCCAGAGTCGCCCTGTGGGAGGAGAAGGACCTGTTTCCAAGTCTGAAAGGGGTGCCGGATCCTGTGTACCCCTCCTGGCTCAGACAGGCATTGCAGGAAAACAGTACATGTACAATGATACATAGGAAGGTGATAATCTCAAGGAGCACCAGGCTTGCACCTGCTCCCAGGGCCTGGAGCTGTGGTCTGTAAGTGGGCTGGAAAGTCTAGCTCAGGGAGAGGATGTGAGAATTAACCCCCAGACAAACCCCCCACCCCCCACCCCGGCTGGCCAGAACCAGTCATCTACTGGGCGTGCATAGTGCTGTTCAGCATGTCCCCCCTCGGGGTCCCGCCCCCCCAGGGGGTAAGGCCTAAGGGTAAAGTGATGGCCCTCAGCCAGATTGGGGAGGGGGGAGTCACATGATTAGGGGCCTACCTTGCAGGCAGCAAAACCACTGCCCCCCACGCAGATCGTGGTGTTGGTGATATTGCTTCCCCAGAGGCTCACACACTCCGCGTTGGACCAGAGCGGCACGTTGGCCTGCTGCAGCATGCTGGAGCCCCTGACTGGGACCACAGAAGTCATACAGGGAGTCGAGCCCTCAGCCTCCTGCCCATCCTGGGAGGAGAGGACAAGACCCAAGGGTGCTGCCCTCCCTGGTCCCGCTTCCATCACTATTCAGGGTGCTGGAACTCAGCCCGGTTCCCCCTTTAACCTTAGAGATCTCAGTGGTTCCCTCCTTCTGATTTCACTCCAGGTGCTCAGTGTGCTCCAGGCACAGCTGTGAACAGTCCTGCCTGCCCAGCCTGTTCCAGGGAAGGAGCAGCTGGGAAGCTCTGGCTTGGGCAGAGGGAGGAGGACACTGGAGGAGCCCATCAGCCAGGGCCAGCAATGGGAGTGTACACCAGGCTGGACACTCAGAACCCTGACCATACCCTGGATACCTGAATCCCACCCAGTCTCCAAGAGGCCCCAGTGCCAATCCCTGTGGCCTGCGGAACCTCCAAGCTGCTGGGGTATCTGTGGACAGGTGCAGGGAGTGAGTGGGGCAGGGCCTGCTGGGATTGAGCTGAGTCTACAGAAACTGACCACTCAAGGCCATCATAGACTCGTGGCCATTCAGGTTTTCACTAGGTGGGTTTTGAATAAAACAGTGGAAACATCTATGACACAGTTTTCATGAACTCAAAAAGCAGATCTATATGCACCCACCTCCTGGGTGACGAGGTCACTCACCATGGTAATGGGTCCTGCCCCAGCCCGTGATGACACACAGGGACCCAGCAGGGAAGTTGTCCTGAGCACTGGGCAGGCACACGGGGGACACGGTCTCAGAGAGGCGAGCGGGCGTGGCCAGCTTCAGCAGGGTGATGTCATTGCTTGAGTTGTGGTTGATAAAATGAGGGTGATCAAACACCTGTGGTGAGGTAGGGGGTGTGAGGCCTGGGGTCCACCAGGGATCTGCGGGTTTCATGAGATAAACGCCTTCCTGGCACCAGTAGAGGACAGACCAGGGGAGCCCTGGGAGAATGTGAGCCCATCTGTGGCCCCCGTCTCTCTCACCGGCTGCCCAACCCCAGCCTGGCATACCTGAGCAATCCTCAGCACCTGGACATTCTTCTTTAATCTCTTGTCAAACATTCCAGCCACAACCAGGTGAGATGTGCTAGAGGAGGCGGGTGGGGTGAGGAAGGAGCACTCCCCTGCTCTCCCCACCCCCACTTTTTAACCTGCCTGGGACTCACCGGACTTCACAGTGAGCGGCAGTGACCACCCAGTCCTCGTTGATCAGGGAGCCCCCACAGAAGTGGGAGCCTCTGCTGCGCTGGAGGAAGAAGGGGAGTCAGTGCTGGCAGGTCAAGCCACACCCCAGATAGAGTCCCCACGCTGACCCAGCCTCAGGTCTCCCCACTCTGTGCAGACTCCCCTCACCTGCAGAGACACCTGCCAGGGCCAGGAGCCAGGGAAAGCGACTTTCCCACTGACGATCCTCTCTATGCCACTCACAACCCGGGGAGTGGCCGGGACCCCACAGCCTAGAGGGGAAAGGGGAGTGGAGAGAGGCTAAGGTCTCAACCAGTCTATAGAAATCTGGTTTCTAGCTCAGCTATTGAAGCACCAAGTTCCATACTCCATTACTTCAGGAACCATCCCCAGGCACCCCAACCCTAGTTGCAGGATCCCACAAACACAGATTGCTGTCCCAAATCACCCCTCAAGGGATGCAGAGGGACAGGCGGCTCCAACCGGGTGCCCTGCCAGGAAGACAGAAAGAGGCTGAGGATCAGGCCTCCTCCCACCCCACCCCCACCCCCAACATCCCTGCTGGATCTATAGTCTCCTCTGTCTCTTCCAGGCTCATTTTCCCCAAGATGTGGGGAGCAAACACGGACACCCTCACAGGCAATGTGCCAAAGAGATTGGTTTGGAAGGTGGTGTGGCATCAAAATTGGAGAAGCCCAAATCAACGGCAAGTCACCCTCTCATCCTGTCGTGACAGAGTGTGACTGTCGCTATTCACACTGCTCCATTCGCTCTGAATTGTAGGAACTGTTCATTGATTAACATTGAAGTTTACTTACTGAATTAATCATGACTTTGACCCTCACTTTAAAGCCACATGAAGCAAACAGAAAACAAAGGACGAGCTTGTCCAGAACAAGGAGGACACACAGGTTCCTTGGCATGTGCAGGACACGTTGCTAGGTCAGGAAACAGGATTCTCAAGGGTGTGAGAAATTACCATAGGAAGAGAGGGGTGTAGGCCCAGCCCCTCCACAGCTGGGCACCCCCAGGGTGCTCCAGGCAGCACCTGCCCCTGCCCTGGGGGCAGAGACATGACCCCACCACTCCCTCAAGCTGGAGACTCCAAACATGTTTCCCTCATCTTTCTCATAAGAGCAGAAAACCACCAGCAGGCGCTGTGAGCTGCGCCCCCTGCAGGCGCGTCCTAGCAATGCAGAAGGCTGGTCCCTGTGCAGGGAGGGACCTGATGTCTCAGCCCAGTGGGGACAGCAGCTGCGACAGGCACAGGGAGGGGATACAGGGAGGGGCTCCCCCACGGAGCCCGCTGTTCTAGGTGAGCCCCAGGGCGTGAGTGTGTGAAGCCTGCACAGAGTGACAGGTGGGGACTCAGCAGAGGCCCCTTCCCAGGGAGGGGAGGGCACAGGGGGGTGCTGAGACTAGGGGATGTCAGAAAGATCCCTGAAGCAAATGGGGAAGGTAAAATTTGCTAAACCTTCAGAAATCATTATTTTAACAGAGACCTACATGATGCTGGTTTTAATTCAATAGGTTTGTGTGGGGGTCCTTGGGTTCCCTCTGGACAGGTTTCACCAGCAGCACGTGGCTAGTTCCCAGGTGAGTTACTCCAGGAGGCAGAGGGGTTTTATATATATATATTTTAAATAATATAACAGTTTATTTTTACATCATCTCGTGCCTTTTTCCATCTCAGTTGTAATCCCCGTGGGCTTCCCATCACCAGTTCACCCGTGTGCCATCACCATAGTCCAGTGCATTCCCCTCTCCCTTCCTCCACCGTTTTTGCTCCCATTCCCCACTCCACCCCCATAAAATGTGTCTGGTATATAGCTGTTCATTATTATTTTTATTTTCTCCCCTGGTCCTTTATTCTCCTGCTCCGAGTAAAACCATCCGGTATTTTTCCTTTCTTTCTGGCTTAGTTCATGGGGTTAGTTATATTTGAAGATCAGGTTTATTAGAGAAAGGGGATAGAAGAATAAAGGACACTTACATAGTCTCAAGTGGGCAGAAAAGCTGCCCGAAAGGGACAGCTTTGCTGAGAGAGAGCTGTGCAAGGTCACAGGTGGGCAGCCTTGGGCAGAGCTGTCTCTGCTGAGGGCGGTCAGTGCAGAGAAGCCTTGGCAGGGCGCAGGTCACCGGCAGCCTGTGCCCTGCAGAGGGAGAGAGCTGGTGAAAGAAGCACCTGCCTAGGCGCAGGTGGGCAGAGGACTGCTGCCACGGGCCAGAGCAGAGACTGCCCTGAAATAAGCTTTTTCTTTTTGGGAGGAGTTAGATTGCTAAGTCCTTGTGAGAGGTTAGATTGCTGTTCATTTCAGAAGAAGACAGGAAGTCACCCATGGGCCAGTCTCTATATCATCACCCTCAGGTCTGTGTCCCCTATAGCAGTCTGATGCCAATTGGCTCTATGCACTGGGATGAGGCCCTGGACCTCAAGGAACTTGACTTCTATAGCTGGGTCAAGGGTCATGTTAATCCCCTCACCCCCAGCTCCTTGTGTGAGTCAGGTTTTAGTTTTGTGATGCTTGCTTTAGCTGTTTTATTCTTTTTTCCAGTAGCACTAAGAAAGTCCTGGCACTGTCACCCCTCACGGCCTCTGTGCCCACAGCCCCACGGGAGCCACGTCTAGGGCCTCTGTTCTCTGACGAGCCCAGATGCCCCTTTCTCAGGCCTGTCAGAGGGTAGAGGGCTCAGAAAGCCCTAGAAAGCCCTGCTCACCTGCAAACTCAGGCTGCCAGTCTGGACTTGAAGCCCAAGTGTGTAGGAAAGAGGCTGAGAGTTCCCCTCACCTGGATTCTTGAGAACCCCCACACTAGCTAGTCCCTATGATGGCACTAGGCTGAGTCCCCTCGGGGCTCAGGGCCTGTTCCCCAGTCTCCTCCCAGACTAGGTGGGTCCCTGAACCCTAACACACTCACCGAAGGTGGCCCTGAGAAGGGCAGTGCAGGAGAGCAGCCAGAGGAAGGCCATGGTGGTGAGCGGGAGCGGAGTGTGGCCGCCTCTCTGGGCACCTTTTATAGCCTTGGTCCCAAAGCCCTCCCAGCTCCTCTGGGCCCTCATTGACCTGAGGCCTCCTTCCAGCTGTGATCTAAGGATCTGGGATGATCAGGGACCTGCAAGCGTGTCCAGGCCTGTGCCTTAGCCTGGGACAGCCCAGGCCTGGGAGAGGGCAGCAGCCTGGCTCCCAGACACCCACCAGCTGCAACTCCTGGGTCACTGAGCCCAGCTGGTCAGCTCAGGGGTCCTGGCCCCACCATGGAGGCTGCAGGTGCTCAGCTGAGACTCCCTCAGGTGTCGGGGGCACCCAGAGCTGAGCATCCAGGAGCTGAGTATCAACACAGCCCAGAGCCCAGGACTTGAAGCTGCTTCTCTATCAGCTCAGGGAAACTCCCTGAGGCAAGAAAAATCCATAAGACAAGAAGAAGCTCCGGTCCCTGCTGGGAGGCTGAGACCCAGCTCAGAAAGAACACTTGAGGACCAGCGGGCATGGCCTTGGGCTCAACCAAATTCTTTGCCTGTGCTGATTCACAATTGATGCAAGCCACCAGGAGAGAAGCCCAGAAGGCGATAGTGGTGCAGTAGGGTGGGAGTGGGGCCGCCTGCTTGGGCACCTTTTATATCTGTGGTACCCCCAAGCCCAGCCCAGCTCCTCTGTTTAGTTTCTAATCAGTGAGCATTTGGTTCTGCACCATAGGTGGCCTGTTGAGGACAATGAAGGCTCAGGACTGATGTCAGGAACAGGGAGGACAGGCCAGGGGCCAGGAGTAGGCTGTGTCTCCGAGGTAGCTGACCTCAGCCTCAAGGCAGGCCCAGTTCAAGATAAAGCGCAGCCCTGGCCTCAGGTTCCAGATGCGTGAGAGACACTTACTAAAAAGAACATCACATAACGGGTCCCCCAAAGCAGGAGGGGCTGTTGCAGTCAGTGTCGGGGCTCCTGGGCGAGAAGACCCCAGGTGAGAACTGAGTGTTCTCCAAGGCCTCGGCCTGTGCTCCTCTGGGAGAATCAGGTCAGGGTGAGGAGGCTGCTCCCGGGCTCAGGACAGTCACCCCGGAGGAGCTCCTGGGTGGGGCATGTGGGGGTCGGGGAGACTGGGGCCCCGGGCAGGCGGGGAGCGCCGGTCCTGTCCCTCTGCTCCCTCTGCGTCCCCCTGTCCTCTGTCCCTTCACAGCCTGTGTCACCGTGGAGCTCCAGGTAGGCTGGGCCTCAGGGACAGAAGAGAGAACCCCAGGGGGGCTCACACAGGGTCCTGTCAGCCGGGGGGAGTCACAGCAGGAAAGAGGTCCCGAGCAGGGAGGGCAGAGCCTGTGAGGGGAAATCATGAACAGAAAATCAGTCATTTCTCAGGGGCAGATAGTCAGGTTAAGTAGAGCTCAAGAAATATGAGTCTTGGGGGTGAGATAAGAAATATTATCGGGCCCTCCCTGGTGGCGTAGCAGGTTAAAGTACTGCACTAAGGTTAAGCCACTTCCACATGAGTTCGATCCCCGCCTGCCCCAGATTCCACATGGTGTTGCAGACCTCTCCTGACCCGCCCGCTGCTCCCCTCAGCAGTGTACTTTGTGATCTGCCTGTTCTGCTCCCCTCTCTGTCTCTGGTGAATCCTCTCACCCTCCGCATCTCTGGCCTGTACCCCAGTTCTATATGAATAAATAAATAAATCTTTTTTTTTTTTAAAAAGAAATGTTATCACTTTATAGTAAAGTTCCAAAAGAGAAGCACCACACTGCTTTCCTTCTTTGAAGTTAGAGATGAATATAAGTAAACAGGTTGGTGTTAGGACTACATGGGCTGTGATTTTAACATATTTTTTTTTTTGCTATTATAAAGCTAATATAGGTTTGTTACAGAGTATTTCCAAATGTGGAAATATTTAGTAAGAGAAAACGAGACCCTCCATGACACCCACCTGAAGTGTCTACTCTGTAGATATTAACTGGACACTTTAGAGTGATGACACCCCCTATGGATAGCTGTCACCTGCTCCTCTAAATCATATACAGTATTGGAAACTATGGAGACCTTAAAAAATTACAGAAGAAAGTGAAGATGTTCAGCTTTTCTTATGAAAAATGCAATGAAATTCTTCCCATGCCTTTGAAAACTCAAATGGATACCTTCACCCTAGATTTAACAAAACTAAGGCGTATGATCTAGATAATTCCACAAAGCAGCATCTGAAAATGAAAAACCAATGTTTTGCTACTGCCATGTGGGGTGCATGTAGGTGAGGTCTGTGTTTCATTACGACTGAGGCTGTATGATGTGTGCACTGAGCTGCTTCTCTCTGGTCTCGTGCTGGGAGCATCTTCCCGGCTCTGGGAAGTCAGCCCTGCCCTGGCCGCCCAGAGGCCTGGGAGTGACCAGCCCCATGCCACCTTCCTCATGAGAGAGCCCAGGGACACAGGAGCCCGTATCCCCTGGTCAGGACAGTGCCCCAGCTCCTGCTCGGGGTGGGGGTGGGGCAGAGGCCAGCGGTGGTCAGTGAGGAGGGACAGGGTGGTGGAAGGGAGAGTCTAGTGTACGTGACTGGGGCCAGGGAGGAGCTGATGTGGACAGGAGCTGGAGGCCCCAGGGAGGACAGTCAGAGAAGCAGCTGGAATGTGTTCGTGCAGGAATGTTCCCACAGAGGCACAGGCCGGCTGCCCTCTGTCCTCTCCCTATCTGGCTGGAGCCTAGGGGGATCCTGGAGGCCTGGGAATTCTGCAGCCATTGAGAACAGCCAGTGTGGGGAACCAGTGGGCAGGAAGCACAGGGTGTGGGCCGTGACTGATTACAGCTGCTGCTACTCACCCTGGTGACACTTTAATCCACACCAGTCCTTGTCTCCTGAAGCCCTAAAAGGAATTCACAGACAGTCCAGAGAAGTAAGCAGCGAGAGACAAACGTCGTTCAAGAAAGTAAAGAGAAGTTTAATTAGGGAAGAAGACAAAAGCAAAGACTCCCAGGCGTGATACCAGGTGGGGCAAGGAGCAGTTACGGAGAGGCTTCAGCAGGATAGACTTTCCTTCCCTGGTTATTCCAAAATTCCATCGGTCTGGCCAGATCGGTTAGTTTTGGTCTCATTGAATTGGCCACTTGCTTGATTTTTCTGCATCACAGCCCTTATTAGAGAGCCCCTCCCCCTTGTTAGTGCCCCTGTCCAGGAATGTCCCCTCCCTGATTTTGGGGTGCTTGATTACCCCCCTTTGGAATTTGTTGTATTACCTCAGAAGTCTCCTTCACTCTCCAGAAGCCCCCGCCTGCATCTGCATCGCCTAGTTAGCCCTGCTCACTTCCCCGGGGCTAGGCTGAGCCGGGAGGGGCGGCCCTGGGGTGCTGCACCACCTGGCCCCCACCTTGGACTCTGGGGAAGCAGAGATCCCTCTCCTTAGGCCTCAAGCAGGTAGCTGGGCCTCCTGGTCCAGGGCCAGAGCTGCCTGTGCATATCCTGCTGTTTCTGCTGGTACCTGAGTGTGAATTCCTGAAGTAGATAGCCGGGGACAGACTCTGGCAACCTTTGAAGTGTTGATGCCAACTTACTTTTTCTTTTTTTTCTTTTTGCCACTAATAATTACCACCCATGAGAACCCACTTTCCTCACCTGCAGGAACCCAGACTTTACATTTTTGTCAGTTCCCGGCGGTGGTTATGGAGACGGAGAGAGGGAGAGCAGGAAGGAGGCGCCCAGACCAGAGTCTGGCTCTGGCCACACAGGGGCCGCAGCGGGGTGCAGTGAGCACAGAGCCTCTCACCTGGCTGTGCAGGTGGGAAGTCCTCAGGCCACTCTCGGTGGGAGGCCCAGATCCCCCGGGGTGGCACGCTGCTGGTGTGTCCTGGGGCGCCAGCGGTGAGGCTGTGGAGACCCAGGCATGGCAGGCCTGGTCCTTTTCAAATTCTCCATGACGGTTATTCAGGCAAACCCAGGAACAACCGCACAGAGGACAGGCCTCCCAGGCTGCAGAAGGCGGTGCCAGGGCAAACTCCGCTGGTAGGGGCGGCCGGCTTCTGCCGCTGTGCTGGGACCCTGCTGGGGCTTCTCTGCAGGGACCTTCCCCCTGGCAGACCGCAGAGGCGGCACCTCCCAGCTGCCCAAATTTACACACCCTCTTGTGGGTAAAAGCCTACCCAAAAGGAATTAGCCCAAAGCAAGGCCTGAAAGCCCACCAAAAATAAAAAGCACCTCTCGTGGGCACCCAGAGGAAAGGGTCAGAAATGGCCAGAGAAGTCTGGGAGGAAACGCTGCCATAGTGAACCTCCCCAAGGGTCTCTCCCCCACATCCGTTTCACCCAGTCCAGGGCCAAGAAACAAGAGCCGCTTCTTCACCTGTCTCTGCTCCTTGCGCCGCCTCAGGTCTCCTTCTGGCCTCCATCCTTCTTCCTTCCTCCTTAGTCTCTTCTCCAGATTCTTCTCCTCTCTGCTCAGCTCCACCCTCCTTTGGGTGGGGCAGGGAACCTGGAACCTCCCCTTTGCCTGGGGGCCCCCCTGTTACAGTCTCTCCATCACTCATCCTCTTTCAGGCTGGACCTGCCAGTCAGAGAAAAGCCCACGACCTGGGCTGAGCCTGCTCTGTGAGCTATTACAGGATGGGCCACTCTAACCCTACTGAGGTGGGCACCGCTGGCCAGGCCCTGCCCGGATAGACCCAACCCCCTCCCCAGGCTGTGAGAGTCCCCCCATGGCAGGTACCTGAGTCACAGGGGAGGCAGGGAAGCCCCTGCTGTGGGCATTTTAATGGCCAGCCCAGGGCCTGGCTTCAGCTCATTGTCCAGGCCTGTGCCTCACAGACAGCTGTGGAGAATAGACACCCCCAGACTCAGGACTAGGTGAGACCCAACCCCTATCTCCCATTCCTTTTGATTTCCAGGTCAGGGAGTTAGGAAAAGGACATTCTGTCCACCTGTTTTTCCTTGATGCAATTGATGTCAGTTGTGGAGTCTGTGATTTTGGAAGTGGGGTCCTTGGGTTCATTCTGGCAATGTTTTTGTTATAGGGCACCCCAGTGTGAACTGGGCCGCCTGTCTGTGGGGCCTCACCCATGCGCTTTAAATGCAGTTGTACTGCAGGCGCACACAACAGGGTCAATAATGGGTTTATTTACAAAAGGGGAAAGGAAAAGGAACAACCCAGGGAAAGAGAGAGGGATGCAAAGTAACTAGAATATCTCACCAGCTCTGCTGACTTGGAGCTCTGGTCACAAACTAACTGAAAGCCCCGAGTCACGTGGTCCCAAGAGCTGTTTCCCCAGCGAGCAAGTGCCGTAGCAAATGGCGCCCTATTTATCCTCCAAAGTCCCAGAATGCTGCTTAGCTCCGCCCTTGGGTCCTCACAGTTCTCTCCCTGGTACTTCTGGGAGTTGTAGTTTCCAGTCACTGGAGTAGGAGGTGGAATCCAGAAACCTGGAGTAGTGGGTGGGGTCTGCAAGACTGCAGAGTTCCTTTAGGACGTCCTTCCCCTTAACAGTTTCACCAGAGCTCCCCTTTCAGTAGCACCTGGCGAGTTTCTCCATGAGACAGAGACATTAGTTATATTAAAAAGAGCAGGTTTATTAGAAAGGGACAGAAAAGAGAAGGACAATACATAGACAAAAGCTGGCAGGAAGAGATGCCCGAAGGCATAGGTTTGCTGAGAGAGAGGCTGGCGTGGTACAGGTAGAGGCGGGCAGGTAGGCTACTGCCCTGCATGGGCCGAGAACTGGCGGAAAGAACACAAGCCACAGGTGGGCAGACAGACTGGCCCGTGCCAGTGCAGAGAGACACTGATACAGACTTCTCTCTTTGGGAGGGGCTCACTCCCAGTCAGTGTGGGTTTGTTGCTGATTTTGGATAACTGTGTAGAATTTTAAAAAGACCTGAGATTCTACAATGGGATCATTCTCCACGTCTCCACCATGGGCCTTGGTTCCGACTGCCCTGCAGCGTCTGATACCTGCCTGGGTCTTGTCTCTGAGATCTGGGCCTTGGCGCCTGAGGAGCTCAGTTCCCGTAGCTGGTGAATGGCTGCTAATCCCTCCACCACCTCCAGCTCCCCGCCTTGTGTGAGCGGGTTTCTGGTCTTGTGGTAACCCCTTCCAGTTTCTGTATTTGTATCCTCCATCATAATGATGCTCTATTCCAAACCTTATGTTCACCAACAAAGAATGAATCTCATAACTCTACGACCCTATACAACACCAATAAAACAGGCCTCAGAGAGCTCCCATCTTCTTCACCTCCCAGCCCCACTGTGTGCCCACAGGCCTCCCCTGACCCTCAGGCTCGCAAGGAACGACTTAGTGTGTTTCTAGGTTCCTGAATGTTGTTGATGGTGGTGACTTACACTCCTCACAGAAAGCTCGTTCATTTCCAACTATACTGGTCTTAGGGTGTCTCCTGAGAGTTCAAGGAAGTTCCCGATGGTCCCTCATGTAGAAAGAGATGATACATTGGTAAATTAAATTAACATGCTTAAAATAAACTGTGGGTAAAGAGGAAATCACAGAAGAAATGAAGATGTTGAGATAAAAAAACATGAAAATACCACTGTCCAAATGTGTGCGAAGCTGCTAACTTGGGGAGGACATCGGTAAGCAGATATGAAATATGGGAAAAGGAAGGGTCAGTGGCCTGAGGTGCTGGTTTATAAGTGAGAAACAGAACAAAGAAACACCGCGAGGATGGCTGGACCTATTAATAATGGGAGCAGACATTTCCTCAAAAGACAAACCACATCTTGAGTGGCTGGGGAGCAGGAAGGTTGGGGACTGCAGGAAGGATGTCACCTGCTGTACTGAGCCTCACACCTTGTCACTACCCCGGCCCTGGCTTCCAGCATGTTCCAAGGCAGTGCTCCTGCTCCTTCCTGCCAGCAGGTTCCAGAGGCCTCAGAGGCTCACCTGGCTGCCCCTCACCTGAGAGAAGCGTTAGGGTAACACTGTCCCCTGGTGGCCACAGCGGAACGACACAGCTCTCTCTGGCCCCTCAGGGTCCACCCACCCAGGGAGGCTGGGCCTCCGCCCCCTGGAGAGGCCACTGCAGCCTCACTCCAGCTCCTGGGCTCTTATCTGAGCTGCATCAGAACCGCCGAGAAGCTGCTTTCAAACCGCGCTGGGCCTCGCTTTCAAGGTGTGTGAGTAGGTGCAGGGTGAGGGGGATAATTTACCTGGCTAGAAGCTGCTGTTTCTTCAGGGGTGGAGGACCCCAGCTTGACCATCCCTGCCCGGGGCCAGGATCTGCTCTGTGGGACGCTGAGGGGACCAGCTCCTGCCAGGCACCACTGCTCAGTCTGAGGGCTGACGGTGCCCCCAAGGGCGGGAGTGAGATGCTCAATTACAGGCGGGGCCTCATGGGAGAAGCCAGGTGTGTGAACTGAGTCCTAGACCAAGGGGTTCTGACTCTAATGTGGGGTGCAGAAAATTCCAGGTTGCTTATTGAGGTATCAAGGCTGTTGGTATGTGGCCTTGATTTCCTGGCATGACAAATTGGTGCTGGTGAGAGTCACCTCTATACTTCCCCTGGGCTGTCAGCCTAAGGAAACAAGACTCACTGAGAAGGCCCGTCCCTTCTCCTGTGGGAACCTGAGACCACTGGCACCTCTTCCAGGGCTGGGCTGACCGAGATGCGAGATGCGGGGAGGAAGCAAGAAGATGTGTGTGAGGTGCTAGGCAGACTCAATTCAAGTGGGGAGAGAAAATTAATTTGGCCTGATTTAATTGATTATATGGGTGTGATAATATTGGGATTACCTGCAAGTGTTTTTGTGGAATAGAGGACAAAGCAAATATATTATTTTAGGATACTCAGGGACCTTCATTCATCCGTCCTACAGAATGAGGATGCCTGTTGTGGAATGGACAACCTGGCAGTGTCTCCCATTTACAGCGAACACCCACAGCCTTGAACTGGATTAGAACTATCTCTACAGACTTTGACTTGTGAGTTTACAATTTATCTTTAAATAGTTCTTGACTAGCCCACGGAATGGCCTACACACACAACCAAATGCCACTTATGAGTGTCCCCCTACACCCAAACGTGAGCTTGAAATCCCTCTTCTACTCAAAGAAAAGGGGATTTTTGAGAAATGACTGATTCTGGATTGGGCATCTGAACCCAGGTCTGGGCCATGTCAGAAGTCCCAGAGCCAACTAGACAGCTTCTACCTGGGACAGGGGAGAATTTCAGCCTTCTGACGGATAATGATTAAAAGAGGTAGAAACCATTTTTTTTCTATTTAGGAGTTTAAATTATTCTAAAACAAACAAAATGAAAACCCACAAAATTTATTCAGTGCCTGGAGGGGTGACAGGGAAGCAGCTCAGGTTCTTCACTTACAGGGACTGTGGAGGGCGACAGGTGAGCCTCCCCCACAGCCCCACCCAGGCGCCCCGAGACGGGCTGTGGGGCGTCTCCCCGTGGGAAACACCGGAGTTGAGCACCCGCCGCGCATAGACTAAGAGCGATGATCCGGCGTCAGGCCTCTCGCTGTTCCCTCGGCAGAGAGCGTCAGGGCCCACAGCCCAGCGCCCCTGCAGCCCAGGGGACTGACCCCGAGTCTGAGGGAGCCCCAGGCTCAACAGCCGCCCCCCAGAGACACAGCCCGGATGGTGACGGGCACTGGTGGTGGGTGCGGAGATGGTATCCCTGCTCCTCAGTCAGGGTGAGGGCCAGGGCTGGGTCAGAGGCCCAGAAGGGAGGGGACTGCACGGGTGGGGGTGGGGCTGCAGGGGCTCAGGGCAGAGAGGGGTGCCTGGAGCATGTGGGGAGGGATGAGCCTGCTGGGAGAACTCATGGCCTGGGCTGGAGAACACTGCCTTCTACAAAGCAATTTGGGCTTAATCAAAGTCAAAGAAGCAGAAACCAGGCTGAGAATTGAGGCAGCAGCAGGTGTCCTGGACTGTCCCCAGGGGCCCCTGAGCAGGGAGGCCCAGACCCAAAGGCCTCAGCTCCTGACAAACAGGGGCTCTGGGCTCTGAGCTGGAAAGGGAGGGGCACGCCGCCCCCTGGTGGGGGGCAGGGGCACTGCAGCCACCGCTCCAGGTACAGACACCAGGGGTCAGGGCTCTGTACAGGGGTTTTTATTGGGGCCACTAGAGGTTGGGGTGGGTGGAACCAGGACTTAATTGTTAGCCAACACCTGCTGAATCCAGGGTATGTGCTTGGTGACACGGCTGTAGCTGCTAGGGATGTGAATGGAGCAGGTGCTGCTTCCAAAGGACACGATGCCCACCAGGGTCCATGCTCCGTCCTTCTTGCAGGCCAAGGGGCCGCCAGAGTCGCCCTGTGGGAGGAGAAAGGACTTGTCTGCATGTCTGAAAGGGGTGCTGGATCCTTGTGCAGCCCACCTGGCTCAAACCGGTATTGCCACGAAATAAAGCGTTTGCACAGCACTGCCTAGCAATAACATCTTCTCAACCACCACCCAGCTTTGCAGCAGCTCCAAGAGCCTGGGGCTGTGGACTGTAATGGGCTGGGAAGTCTAGCCCAGTAGCAGTTGGGTGAGCAAATCCACTAGCGAGCACCCCCAAGCTGGCCAGAGCCGGTCATCTTTGGGTCCTGGTTCCCCTGGGGCACAAGACAAGGGTTGAGGGTAAAGAGATCAGGGGCGAGGAAGGGCCTGCACCCTGGTTGGAGAGAGGTGACCATGTTTCAGGGGCCGTACCATGCATGACGTGACACCTTTGCCTCCTGCACAGACCATGGTGTCGGTGATCTTGCTGCCCCAGTGACGCATACAGTCGGCGTTGGACAGGAGCGGTATGGCACCCTGCTGCAGCGTGCTGGAGCCTGTGCCTGGAACAACAAATCCCCGGAGGAGTCCGGGCTCTCAGCCTCTGGGCTCTCCTGGGAGAGGACAAGGCCCAAGGGTGCTGCCTTCCCTGGTGCCCCTTCTCCATCGATATCATCAGGGTGCTGGAACCCGAGGCCTGTCCCCCTTTAAACTTTAGAAATCTCAATGGTACCCAGTTATGATTCCACCCCAAGGGGTGCTCGTGCCGTATTTGCTCCAAGCACAGTTGATGAAGTGACCCCTTCCTGCACTGCTGGGTGTTGGGGATACAGGGGCAGCCCCCAAAAGACTGGGACTGAATCTGGCTCTGGAAGACCCCATTCTGGAGGTGTCAGAGAGCAGGCACCTTGCTGCCCCTTCCTGGTGTCTGGGGGAGCAGCCCAGTAGCCCTGGCCTGGCCTGCATGCCAGAGGAGACCCTGAGACAGAGCCAGCTGCGGAGGGGACACCAGGCTGGACACTCACAGCCCTGACCACACTCTGATGCTAGAAACCCAGCCAGGCCTGGAAGGAGGAGGTCCTAACTCCAACCCCATGAGGCCTGGGGGACATCCAGTGCTGCTGGGGTCACCACCGACAGGCGCCAGGGTGAGTGGGGCAGGGTCTGCTGGGACTGAGCTGTGTCGACAGGACCTGACCGTTCAAGGCCATCATGGACTCGTGTCCACACATGAGGGCAGGTTGTCACTAAGTGGCTTGTGAATAAAACAGTGGAAATATTTGGGATAATACTTGTTTCCATAAAACCCAAGAGCAGAGGTGTATGAGCCCCACCATTCCTGCAGGATCTCTGACACCCAACTTCTGGAGCTGGACTCCGGCAGTAAACCAGACCCCCCTCCTGAGTGACAAGGCCAAGGTCACTCACCAAGGTAATGGGTCCTGCCCCAGCCTGTGGTGACACACAGGGACCCGGCGGGGAAGTCATCATCAGCTCTGGGCAGGCACACGGGGGACACTGTCTCAGTGAGGCGAGCGGGCGTGGCCAGCTTCAGCAGGGCGATGTCATTGCTCATGGAGTTATCACTAAACCCGGAGTGCCTGAAAACCTGTGGGTGAGGTGAGGAGGAGGGGTGAGGCCTAGGATCCATCAGGGAGCTGCAGGTTTTAGCAGCAATTGTCTTCCCATGGACAAATGGAGGACACAGACTGGGGGGGGGGCCCAAGGGACACTCCAGGGCCATAGCTGCCTCCTGTCTCTGCAGCCAAAGGGGCTTATCTCCACTGCTCCTGCCTCAGCAGCTTTGACCCCAACCCCCAGCCTGGCATACCTGAGCGATCCTCAGCACCTGGACATTCTCCCTCCTTGATCTCCTGTTAAACATTCCAGCCACAACCAGGTGGGAGGGGCTAGAAGAGGCAGGTGGGGTGAGGAAGGAGGACTCGCCTGCTTCATCCCCCAACCCCCCACAATTTTGGACCCTCCCTGGGCCTCACCTGACTTTGCAGTGGGCGGCGGTGACCACCCAGTTCTGGTTGATTAGGGAGCCCCCGCAGAAGTGGGAGCCTCTGCTGTCCTGGAGGATGGGGGGTGGTTAGTGCTGGAGCAAACACCATAGCAACCTTTGCAGCTTCCCCTCCAGCAGGCCTTTACCCCACTCAGGTGCAGACTCCCCTCACCTGCAGAGACACCTGCCAGGGCCAGGAGCCGGGACGAGCATCCTCCCCATTGACGATCCTCTGTATGCCACTGACAACTGGGGGAATGGCCGGGACCCCACAGCCTGGAGGGGACATGGAGAGAGGGCTGAGGTCTCAGGCTTTCTGCACAAATCTGGTTTCTGGACACCACTTCCATACTCCCCTACTCCAGGAAACTTCCCATGCACCCCAACCCAGGTTGGACGATCCCACAAACACAGATTGTTGCCCCCAACACTGCTCCCCCCTGAGATGCTGAGGGACAGAGGAGCAGACACAGGCTCAGAAATCAGGGTCCCTGCCCCATGCTTCTCTGCTGGAGACCTCAGCCCCCTCTGACTCTCCCAGGCTCATTTCCCCAAGAAATGGGGAGCAAACACTGTTACCCGCCCAGGAAATGCTTGCAGAGATTTATTAGGCAGGATGTGTGGGATTCAGAGAACTCCCAAATCCACAGGGTATTGTTTATTACTGATAGTCCAGCAACTCTTCATTGCATGAAGTTTATGGTTATTATACAATAATATAGGACCATGACTCCCCACTATAAAAAGACACAGGGAAGAAACAGAAAGCAAAGAGTGAGGCTGTCCAGAACAGGGAGGACACACGAGGTCCTTGACACGTGCAGACTCACTTGCTGGGTCAGGACATGGGATTCCCAGCAGCTCCCAGAACTTGGCCACAGGAAGGAGGGGGGCAGGGCCAGCGTCTCCCACAGCCAGAAATCCCCAGGGTCCCCCAGGCCTTGCTCTAGGCAGCACCTGCTCCGCCCAGGGGACAGGGACATGGCCCGGCCACTCCCTCCAGCTGGTGACTCCAAACAGCCCTCCTCCTCATCTTTTTTTTAAGTGATTTTTTCCCCCACATCATTCTTCATTTTGTAAATTTTTTCATCTCAGTTGTAACCTCCGTGGACTTCCACCACCACTTCACCCATGTGCCATCATCATAGTCCTGTGCTCTCTTCCTGCCCCACTTTTTATCCTATTCCCCTCCTCTTCCTCATCTTTTCAACTAAGAACAGAAAACCCCCAGCAGGAGCTGTGAGCGGCGCCCCCTGCAGGCGCGTCCGAGTAATGCAGGGGGTCTGATCCCTGTGCAGGGAGGGACCTGAGGTCTCACCCCAGTGGGGACAGCAGCTGTGACAGGCACAGGGAGGGGATACAGGTTGGGGCTCCCCCACAGAGCCTAAAGTTCTGGGTGAGCCCCAGGGGGTGAGGTTGTGAAGCCTGCACAGAGTGACAGGCAGGGACTCAGCAGAGGCCCCTTCCCGGGGGAGGGGGACAAGGGGGTGCTGAGACTAGTGGGGTTATGAGAGATCCCTGAAGGAAAGGTGGTATTTGCTAACCCCCGAAAAAGATAACTTGGTTGTATTATTATTAATGATGCTAAGAGAAACAAAGCCCCGAGTGGTCCTGGCACTGACACCCCTCACGGCCTCTGTGCCCACAGCCCCACGGGAGCCACGTCTAGGAGCCCAGATGCCCCTTCCTGAGGAGCCCAGATGCCCCTTCCTGAGGCCCGGCAGAGGGCTGAGGGCTCGGAAAGCCCTAGAAGGCAAAAACAACTCAGGTTGGTGTCAGGTCCTGAAGCCCAAGTGTGCAGGAAAGGGGAGTCAGAGCTCCCCAACACAGACTCCTGATCACCCCCAAACTGAGCAGGTCCCTTGTGATGGCACCAGGCTGTGTCCCCTGGTGGCTCAGGGCTACTCCCCAGTCTCCTCCCAGATCTGGCGGGTCCCTCAGTCCCTAACACTCACCAAAGGCGGTCCCGATGAGGGTGGCACAGGAGAGCAGCCAGAGGAAGGCCATGGTGGTGAGCGGGAGCGGAGTGTGGCTGCCTGCTCTAGGCGCCTTTTAACATCCTGGGATTTCTGCTCACACCCAGGCCTCAGGGCCTCTAGGCCCTGAGGCCTCCCTCTAGCTGTCATCTTAGGATCTAGGATGGTCAGGGGCCCCCAGGCGTATCCAGGCCTGTGCCTTACCCTGGGACATCCCAGGCCCTGGGACAGGGCAGCAGTCTGGCTCCCAGACACCCACCAGCTGCAACTCCTGGGTCACTGAACCCAGCTGGTCAGCTCAGGGGTCCTGGCCCATCATGGAGGCTGCAGGTGCTCAGCTGAGACTCATAAACAGGGATTCTCCCTCAGGTGTCGGGGACACCCAGAGATGAGCACCCAGGAGCTAAATTTCAACACAGGCCCAGAGCTCAGGACTTGAGGCTGCTTCTCTATCAGGTCAGGGAAACTCCCTGAGGCATCAAGAATCCACGAGACCAGGAAGAGGCTCTGGTCCCTGCTGGGGGGCTGAGACAAGCCTAAAGGGCAGTTTCTGAGCACTTGAGGACCAGCGAGCATGGCCTTGTCAACCAAATTCTTTGCCTCTGTTGACTCACAATTGGTGAAGTACCACTGCATCTCTGTTTAGTTTCTTGTCGAGGAGGATTTGGTTCTGCAGAGAGATGGCCGCTGAGGACACAGAAAGCTCAGGGCTGCTGTCAGGCCATGAGGACAGGCCAGGGGGCCAGGAGCAGGTGGGTCTGGGAGGCCCCTGCCCTAGTGGGGCTCAGGCCCTCAGGCTCCAGATCAGGGCCCTTCTAGGTCCCAGGCACCCCCATGAATGGAGCACCCCTGCTTAGAATTCAGCTCAAGGAGACTCTAAACAAGTAAGAACATCACGTGCCTGGTCCCCCAAAGCAGGAGGGGCTGCTGCAGTCAGAGTCGGGGCTCCCGGGTGAGAAGGCCCCAGGTGAGAACTGAGTGTTCTCCAAGGCCTCGGCCTGTGCTCCCCTGGGAGAATCAGGTCAGAGTGAGCAGGTGGCTCCTGGGCTCAGGACAGTCACCCCGGAGGAGCTCCTGGGTGGGGCATGTGGGGGTCGGGGATACTGGGGTCCCGGGCAGGCAGGAAGCGCCGGGCCTGTCCCTCTGCTCCCTCTGTGTCTCCCTGTCCTCTTTCCCTTCACAGCCTGTGTCACCATGGAGCCCCTGAGCACCCCCAGGGGAAGGCTGGGCTTCAGGGGCAGAAGATGAGCAGCTCCCGGGGGGGTTCCAAATAAAGGCACTCTCAAGTGAGGCAGGAGGAAGTCACAGCAGAACTAACGGGGGCTCAGAGCAGGGGAGAGGCAGAGTCTGTGAGGGGAGCTGGTGTATACAGAGCTGCCAGTGGTCCTCAGGTGAATGACACTGAGCTTTAAGTGGAGCTCAAAAAGTTGAGACTTGAAACTGAACATCCAGAAATCTAACTCCTTGAGTTTCAGTATGAGATTGCATTGAGTTAATGTAATTCTCATGACAGAAAATTGACAAAATGCAGGAGTATTTAATACCGGGGTGTCCCAGTAGTGCGTGTCACCCCAGCTGGAGCAGACAGAACCTTCTTTTTTTTTTCTTTTTTTTTTATTACAAAGTTTATTTTTATATCATTTTGCACATTTTTTTTTCCATCTCAATTGTAATCCCCGCGGGTTTCCCATCACCAAATCACCCCTGTGCTACCACCATAGTCCCGTGCATTTCCCTCCCTCCGTTTTTGATCCCATTCCCCACTACACCCCCACAGAATGTCTCTGGTATATGGTTGTTCATTATTTTTGTTATTTTCTCGCCTGGTCCATTATACTCCTGCTATGAGTGAAACCATCCGGTATTTTTCTTTCTCTTTCAGACAGAACCTTCTTATCAGGCAGGACATGTGTTGAAGTAGCGACATTTGTGTTTCTGCCCCTTCCCCATTCCAATCAGGGAACAAAGCCTCTGGCTTTCCTTTGATTCAGGGAATTTTCCAGGATAGCAACAGGCTCCGGGCCTGTTGTGAAAGTGCCCTCCTGATGAAGAGGCTTGTAGGCCTGGGTGCTGCAGGGAGGGGCAGAGAACCTCCCCTCACAATGAGGCAGGGGATTAGATCTAAATCTGTGCTGCTGTGATCTAGTCTCTCACTTTAGACAGCTGCTTTGGGCTGACCTCCCTCCTCCAAACTAGTCTCTGTGATGTTGCTTTTGGGGGTGTTGGGCTTGGAGAGTGGAATCCTGGAGTTAACTCTGGGAAAATTTCACCAGAGCCCCCCTTTCAATGGCACAATGGCTTTCTCCACAAGCAACATTATACAGCCCAAAGGGCAGGTTTGTTATAAAAGGGAAGGAAAGGTTAAGAATGCTTGCACAAAAAAATGAAACTAGATTACTGCCTCACTCCAGTCACAAAAATCAACTCGAAGTGGATTAAAGACCTAGACATAAGAACAGAAACCATAAAA